GCATGGGGAGCGGCCCCGGTGCCGAGGCGGGGCGGTCGGGGGGTGCCGTAGCCCGGGCCGCGCTCTGCGGCGGGTGTGTAAAGCGGCTTCATTGATAAAACGCGAGTTCATTGAGGAGACTCCGGAGCAGCGTCTGCGTCAGCGCGGACGTCAGAGATATTTATAACAGGCCGCTCTCGTGTGGAGCCGGCGCTGGCAGCGCGGCGCCGCGGCCCCGGGGACGGCGGGGAGCGGCCCGGGCGCTCCGCTGACGGCAGCCCCCCTTCCTCTGACCTACAGGACTTCTGCACCGACCTGGCCGCCTCCAGCGCCAACTTCGTGCCTACGGTGACGGCCATCTCCACCAGCCCTGACCTGCAGTGGCTGGTGCAGCCCACTCTCATCTCTTCAGTGGCCCCTTCCCAGAGCCGCGGGCACCCCTACGGCGTCTCGGCGGCCGCCCCCACCACCTACTCCCGCCCCGCAGTGCTGAAGGCGCCGGGCGGCCGCGGACAGAGCATCGGCCGCCGGGGCAAAGTCGAACAGGTGAGTGCGGATTGCAGCTGATGGGGGAACCGGGGGGACGCGCCGCCGGCGGATTGCCCTGGCCGGGGGCCACCGGGCTGGCAGCGGGACTGAGCGATCTCTCTCTGCCCGCAGCTGTCCCCGGAGGAGGAGGAAAAGAGAAGGATCCGCCGGGAACGGAACAAGATGGCAGCGGCCAAGTGCCGCAACCGGCGGCGGGAGCTCACCGACACGCTGCAGGCGGTAAGTGCTGCCCGGGAGGTGGCTGGGATAGAGGGAGTACCGGGGGCGGGGATGACGGGAGGAAGAGGACTCCAGCTGGGAGTGATGCCGGCCCTGGCTGACAGCCTGCTCTCTCGGCAGGAGACCGACCAGCTGGAGGAGGAGAAGTCCGCGCTGCAGGCGGAGATTGCTAACCTGCTGAAGGAGAAGGAGAAGCTGGAGTTTATCCTGGCGGCCCACCGGCCCGCCTGCAAGATGCCCGAGGAGTTGTGCTTCTCCGAGGAGCTGGCAGCTGCCAGCGCCGCTACCGCGCTGGACCTGGGCACCCCCAGCCCCCCCATGACGGAGGAGGCTGCCTTTGCTCTGCCGCTGATGCCTGAAGCGCCGCCGGCCGTGCCGCCCAAGGAGACCAGCAGCAGCGGGCTGGAGCTCAAAGCTGAGCCTTTCGACGAGCTGCTCTTCTCCACGGGGCCGCGGGAGGCCTCCCGCTCGGTGCCCGACATGGACCTGCCTGGGGCCTCCTCCTTCTACCCGTCGGACTGGGAGTCGCTGACTGCCGGGACCAGCGGTGAGCTGGAGCCCCTCTGCACCCCTGTGGTGACCTGCACCCCGTGTCCCAGCACCTACACCTCCACCTTCGTCTTCACCTACCCCGAGGCAGAGGCTTTCCCCAGCTGCGCTGCCGCGCACCGGAAGGGCAGCAGCAGCAACGAGCCCTCGTCCGACTCCCTCAGCTCCCCCACCCTCCTGGCTTTGTGAAGGGCTCCGGCATTGACTGACCTGCTGGGCCCCCTCCCCTGCCCACGCACCCCCACGGACTTGCAGCTGTGCCCCATGGGGCTCCCCAGGCCTGGGGAGGGCCCTGCCACCGCCACCCCCTGTCTGGCCTGGTGCCCCGGGGCCTGGCAGAGCGTCATGCACCGAGGTCTCTTACCTCTTCCAGAGATGTAGCAAATCGCATGGAGTTTGTCTTGTCCCCAGTGGCCCATCCATGAGAGCTGGTAGTCTGTAGCATGTCCCACATGGCTGGGTAGGTGACTCCCTCCCCTCCTTAGTATCACTAGCATTAACTAATTAATCTATTGGTTTTAAATGATTGGAATTTAACCTGGTGCTGGGTATCTCCAACTCGTATCTAGTGCAGCTGATTAACAATAACTACTGTGTTCCTGGCAATATCGTGTTCTGATGACTTAGCAATGACCCATCTTACGTGGGGGGAAAGAGACTCTATTTTATTTTCTAGTAGGTAGATAAATAGCTATATCCATGTACTGTAGTTCTACATTGATGTTCATTGTAACTTTACTGATCATGCATTGTTGAGGTGGTCTGAATGTTCTGACATAAGTTTTCCATGAAAACGTTTTTATTGTGTTTTTAATTTATTTATTAAGATGGATTCTCAGATATTTATATTTTTATTTTATTTTTTTCTACCTTGAAGTCTTTTTTGACATGTGGAAAGTGAATTTGGATGAAACTTAAGCATTGTTTGCTTATTATTGTTCAGAGACATTGTCAATAAAAGCATTTAAGTTGACTGCTGGAGCTGTCCTTGTGTTACCTTTTGCACTTGCTTCCCTGTGCCCTCAGAGGGGTTCCCTAGCCTCTAATTTTGTCTGGGCTTTATAAACTGCAGAGACCTGCAATCTGCCTGAGACTTAGGGTGCATCAGGGTGGGAATACCATTTAGGGCAGCCCTGTCCTTGTCCTGGTGCTAGTCAGGTCTGGCTGTGGTTACACCCATTCTGGTAGGCTGCAGGATCACTCCCTAAGGCCCTTCCTAGCTGATCTGTCTGGGTCTGGTCCCCTTCTGTGTCTGTGTGTCACCTGCTGTGCCCTTTGACCAGCTAGCTGGAGGTCTTGCTGGAAAGGTGGTGAAAGGGCACCTCTAGGCTGGGGCCCACATGATCATTTCCACGTGCCTAACAGCTCAACTTCCTTGTCGCTGGATGTGGTCTGGTTCCTCTAGGAAGCTATGACCTATCTGCTTTGGATGTAAGGGGATGAGAAAGTCTTTGGATGTAAGGGGCTGAGTGGTATAAGGCAAACCACTGGCTCTTCAGTTTCTATTAAAGCCAGCCCAGCCCTTGAATGAATGAGTGGTAGCAAATGGCACACACGTTCTAGGAGTGTGCTGCCTCCTTGGGGTCTCTGAAAATGTGGTCCCTCCTGCTAAGCCAGTTGAGAAAGGCTGCTACCCTCTGTAACCCCTGCCACTTGTGCAGTGAACTGTGCTCTGCTGGCAGGACAGCAGCTGGGCCAGGTTACCCCTGCTTGCAGAGCAGTGGTTTGCTCCCTCTCTGCTGGCTACACATCAAGGGTCCCCTGGGAGTGGCAAGGCCTCCCTGACAGCCTCCAGCCCTGTCACTCCAGTTTGAGAACTCCTTTCTCAAGGTGAAAGCAAAGATGTCACCTCTGCTGGGCACATGTGTCCACCTGAAGGCCATCTTGCCACCATGGTCTCAAGGAATCTCTACAGGCTGACATTCAGGGTCAGGTTTCTGTAAGTCCACATTTCCCAGTCACTGCAGCAGGCTCTGCTTTTTTCCAGCCCTTCCCTAATCAGAACACACACAAGATCATCTCATCTCAGCAGTGAGTATTGCAGCTTTGTGACTTGCTCAACAAGGCCTGCCCTGTGTAAAAGCAAATATTACAAGTGCAGTTTCCCATCTTTCAACATTAATCTGTAGGCAGAGTTGACAAGCGATGAAGACTAATCCCACTTGCTACTACGAAGCAGTTACTTTCACATTGCCACTTGAGTTTACACGGGCAACACCCAGATGCAGCAAATGCACAGTAGCGCTGAACCATGAAGCAGTCATGTAGGTAGTAGGTGATGCCACAAGAGAGTCAGACTTATGTGACAGGTAACCCTGTGAAGTCAGCAAATCTGGAATGAGAATGTGCTGTCTTGCTGAAAGACCATCGAGTTCAGAGCTGAACAATTAACGTCTCTGGGGGAGCCCATGCATGCTGCTGAAATCACCAGACATTCAGCAGAGGCAGAAAGGAAACAGGGGTCCACAAAATCCAAAAATACCACATTTCCCTCAAAGTAGGTGGAGTGATCCCTGTCCTAACATCTCTCATGATCACCAGACAGGCTAGAGCAAAATCTAGAGCTAAATTCAGAGAGACAGCAGTCCTGCAACCTAACCGAGGCTTCTCTCTTTAACAGAAGGGAGAGCAAGTGCCAAGTCTAAGTGTCAGCTTTTGCATTTGTTACACAAAGATGTCAGATTCAGGGGTGGCACTACATAAGGACACTTTATGTCTAACCCAAAGCTCCAGCCTTACTTCTTGCCTTTAGCCACAAACAACCCAGAATTCAGAATGTGCTACATAAAATTTATGCTGTGTTATGAACGTGATTTATCTGTTTCCTAGCATTTGAGAATTCCGTAGTGAAGTCGCACTTAAAACAGGGGGAATCTTGCCACTATCTTCAACTGAGGAATAATGCAGCAGTCTCTGCCTGCAATGTGTTATAAAGCATGTGCTTCAATTACAAGCTGTATCTGATCCATCACACAGATACCAGCACAAAGCTTTGTGAAACACAACAATGGAACGAGATAAGACACGTAGGGAACGCTCGTGTTATTTCTGACGCCTCCTGTGCTCCTGATCCCTCTGAGGGCAGTAGTGTAATTAATTCTTAGAAATGCAACTGCAACACAACGCAAAGCACAGTGGAATTGTTGTTAGGAATTACAGAAAGCAGACCTGTAAAACAACGTGCAGGTGCTAAAACGCGTTTACAGCAGAATAAAGAGGGCTGCTCAGCCCGGCAGCCCGTCCTGCCCGGCTACAGGAGGCTGTCGCGGATGCAGGCTGCCCCGGTGCCGACAGCAGCCGCAGTCCCGCTGCGCTGCGCTGCGCACCCCCGCACCCGCCTCTGCGCTCTGCGGCCGCGGCCGGTACCGGGCACGAGCGCGAGGCTCCCGCGTGGGCCGGGCCCGCGGGGCTCTCGCGGCGGGCGGCGCGCGCCCCGGGCCCCGCCCCGCCGCGCCTGCGCGCGCCCGTGTTTACTGTTTGGTTGCCGGGGCGCCGCGCGCGGGCGCGGCGGGGACGTGACGTGACGTCCCGCTCCCCGCGGGGACGCCGCGAGCCAGCGCCGTGACGCGCGCGCTTCCGGCCGTGCCCATGTATGGCGAGGCGGCGGCGCCGCGCTCCCCGGGGGCGCGGGCGGCGGGCGGCGGGCGGAGCCGGGCGGAGCCGGGGACACCGCTCCGGCCTTGCCTCCCCGCGGCCCTCGCCGGTGGAGCCCCCGGCCTCGCCTCCTTTCCGCCCCCTCCGGCGCTCTCGGTGCGTTTGCGGGGCGAGGCGGCCGGAGAAGGAACGGGGATCTCAGGCAGCTGGGTGTTGAGTCCCAGGCGAGCGCACGCGTGAGCGTTTGTAGCGCTCGCTGTCCCTAACTGGGCTTCCGTGGCATCACCCCTCCGCCTGGACATCTCCGGAGTCGTCAAGAATTGGTCCGTGGTGGTGGGAAAACCAAGCGAAACAAACCACCCCAACCCCCCGCCCCCCCCCATAATTGACAACTGGCTTTTATCTCCAGTAGGTGGAAGAAAATAATTACTTTTTTTTATAATTTTTTTTTTAACTGCAGTTGCAGCACAAGAGCTGCCGTGTACCAGGTGACCAGGCACCTACAGTCTTGCACACTCACTCTGCTAGTTCTCCTGCTGTTTGTGTTTTTGTTACTATTTTGTTACAAAACTCTGACTACTACTTGCTGTCAAAATAGAACAGGAAGCTTGCCAAAAGAGTTGTCAGAGCCACTGGACAGTCAAAATAAAAGTGGATTGCTCAGAGGAGATAAGGTTCTGGAGAAAAATTAAATTGATATTTTGCTTTGTGCTCATTGTAGAGGAACCTAAGAATAATCCTATACTTATACTCAATTTTGTGAAAGATTTATCAGAAGATATGCTTCAAGCTGAATGTCTGTAGAAAAGGTAGTGAAACACATAGCTACAATGAAAAGTGTTGAACAATTGGATGGCATTATATTAATCCAAGAGTTCTAAGAGTAGTCAAGACTTAAATAGCTGAGCTGCTTACTAATGGTTTTTGTGTAACATTGCATTTAGAAGGGCTTTGATAACAGACACCGGGAAGATAGTTAACATGCCAGTTAAAAAAAAAAAAAAAAACAGCCTGAAAAGTTCTGTAGAGCTGCTGAGCAATGAGCCTGTTCTCTGTACCAGCCAAGTTAGTGAAAACTTTAAAGAAGTGAACTAGTGGGTGCAGGGAGAAAATGGGTTACCATGACAGAGGGCAGAGCTTTTCTAATGAGAACTCCTGGCCTCACACATTGTTTGGAGTCCTGAGAGGAGTCAGCAAAGCATGTGGACAAGAGACATTCTGCTGGTATTTCCTACTTGGGTATCTAAAAAGTATTAATCAAAATCTATGAGCAAAACCTTCTGAAAGAACTGTAGATTAAGAGAGGTTTTCATGTGGACAGATGACACTGCATTAAAGACAGGTCTCTGTAAGACAGAACAAAACTATTTCTTGGTGAATTGAGTCAATATGCAAAGTTCCACAAGGATCTGAATTGGAGCCTGTGGACTGAGAGCAAAGGTAGTAAAATGTCACAATACAAAGTGAGTGGGTGGTACAATTTGATGTACATACATGCAAAGTGTTTTGAATGGAAGATAAACAATCCATTTCAATCATACAGAAACAGCCTAGCTGATTTATCACTTGGGAACAAGATCTTGACATAATAATAGTTCTGTGAAAACCTCAGTTCAAGACTTGGTAAATCAGCAAATAGAGTGTCAGGAGATAAGGAATAAGAGCACGAGAATAAAAGCAGAGAGTGTCATTATAGCATGGGATAAATCCATGGTGTGCCAGTGCTTTGAATGTTGTGTTCAGTTCTGATCTTTAGAAGGACAGAGAGCATCATAAGAGGTTCAGACAAGTAGATAAATGTTAGGAAGTGTGAGACAGCTGCCAGGTCAGAAGCAGGTAAGTTAACTAGGACTCTTCAGCTTCACAGACACAAGTTAGGGGAGGTTTCTTTCAAAACTTTGGGAAATGCGGAATAAAACCAGATTTGACAAGGTTGCTAATTCCATGTTGTGGGTAGTTGTAGAAAACCTTTTTTTAACCTTTTTTGCCTGATTTTGTGGATACTACAAGGGGTTTTGTTTTGGTTTTGTTTTGTTGTGTTTTGTTTGTTTGATTGTTTGTTTTTTGATATGGCAACTCCAGAAAATAAACACAAATAAAAGCTAGTGAGAACTATTAAATATATACCAATATATACCCTTTGGCTATGCAAGTCCTGATTTTGACATTTCTGAGGCCTTAGGGAGTACTGTGGTGAGGCAGCACTACACACTGACCACTGACTTTGTCCTTACTACTTTCTTCAAGTAGTTGCTATGAGGTAGTGTCAGAAGATTGTGGTTGTTAACAGAGAGGGGCAAAAACTGTGTTTGACTTTACCAAATATGACTATTTCTAGGAGGGTTTGTAGGGATTTAGCTGAACTTTCACTCTTTCCTGTACTTCCATATTGTAATGATGCTTGAATTTGTTTAAATTACCAGAAGATGTGATCTCATATGTCCGTGCACCTTATCTCTTCAGATCTTTTGCTGATAAGGCTGTTCTTTGGAGCTGCATCCGGTAGCCTTTCCAGGCAGAGGCAGGCTGGTGACCCAGTGAGGTGCTGAAGTGAAACCAACAACACCCATTCTTCTCATTTGGAAACAGCGGATGTTCACAAGGGACCTGGATATTATATCAACAGGATATAATGGGAAAACAAAAGAAGGCTGTAACTAGCATGTAGACAATGTATCTTTATTATTTCCAATTAAGGAGCTCTTGTTCTGTGGAGTAGTGTCCTGTCCCCTGCCACCCCCTTGGCATCTTTAGTCTTCACAACAACAGATTTTCAGCTCTTCACTGATTAGATTTGAGCTCTGTTTTTATACAAATGTTTTTTAACTTGGTCTGTTGGCTAAGGACAACCAGCTGCAACATTAAAGGAGTAATTTTAATTCTGATTGCATTGCATCTTCCACTTGGTAAGGATTGAGTGCTTTTTAAAAAGCCCATCTTGAATCTTCTCATGCTTGGGAAGAAGGGAAGAGAAACCAATTCATAATATAGTATTTATCTGGTTCTGTTTGCAAAATTAAATATTTTCCCTGAATAGGAAATGGTACTGCAAAGGCCATAAAATACAGTAGCAGTGTTAGTCTTAAAGCCTATCATCTGAAAGATACATGACATTCAGATATTGTGAAGGTATTTGGGTTTTTAAATAAAACACTATTTTGACACTGCTTTGAAGTATATTGGGTGCTTCAGCATGAGAGTGATGAAATTCCTGCCATGAAGCATTTGAATTCTAACTGTAGGAAAAATAACAGTTGCCAGTAGCACACGGGAGAAGGACAAGCTCTGTTACAGCATTCAGGCATGTGGTACGGCAGTTGAATTAAAATAGTAACGTAACCTGATGGTGATGTGTCACTAACCTCGAGGACGCCAGGGAAGATAAAACAAAGTAATTTGTTGTCATTACATAAGAACTGAGTACAAAGCCAAGAATGGGGTTTCCGGCACAGATAAGAGTTTCACTCCAAGACTTTCAAAGAATTCAGCTCTTCAAAGCTTAAACTATCCATGGGCCTCTCAGATCCTCCCATCATCTTCAATCTCTTTCCTCTCCCCCCTGCACCTCCCCCCACATGGCTGTCGTACTTTGCTGCTATTTGTCAGCAATTTCCAGGTGCCACAAGCCTGGGTCCCTTGGCTATGCCTGTGCTGCTGAATCAAAGAAGGTAGGAATCAAACTTGGGTATTTGGCTTGTTTTTCTGCTGTGCTCTGCTACATAGTAATGATTCTCGTTTCTGAAACAGTCTTGGCATGTGTCAAACAGCGATCTCCAAGAAGATGACTGGGTGTAGCTCAGAGGGTAGCATGTGTCCAATGAGCAGTGAGCAAGATTCTGTGAGACTGGACCCCCTCCACTCTTCTGGGTGATCCAGCAACGTCCCAGCAGGTTTCCTACTGTCAAACACACCTCTATGCTGTGGCATATGACAAGTCCTTTAGCTCCATGTTGTAAATCATCCCTCTGGGCTATGGCACAAGCTCTCTTTTATTAAAATCTGCCTGTTTGAAATTACACTCTTGAAATAATACTTATTTAAGACATGTAGTTCAGAGGTGACCACCAGCCAGGTGCTGTGTGGTGTGGACATGGAGTGTGACTGCCCAGCCCTTCCTCCAAAAAACAGTTCCTGGCCCAGCTTCACTTGGCATTGTAGATGCTGCCTGTGTCAGGCTATAAACAAGCTCTGGCAGGTTAGAGAATTTACCTTGTTGTAAGGGTTGTGTAACATGTTCAGTGCTCCAAAAGGAATCCTGATGACTGCAGCGTTTGATAAATTATCTCCAAATCCTCCTAAATATGGAGTAGGATTTAAGGGAAACATGAACATGTTTTTCACTGAATGGCAGATACATAGTTGTAATTGGTAGGAAACATGGTGAAATAACACACAGGGAAACATGGTATTCTACCTAGGTGCATATATTTTCAAGATCTTTGTTTCTGTCTGGGAGCTAAGTCAAGGGGCATGGCAAGCTGATGAGATAGTTTCCACGCTTTAAGAACCACTAAATAATAGTCACATGAGCTACCTATGGCTCATCCCTCAGAAGGGATGATCCTGATTAGGAACATTTATTTGAGGAAAGTTTTATCCATATTCTACATACCTTTAGGTTTCAAGGATAAATGCTTCACTGTACCTTAGTCCTGACACATTTAGTCAAGACCTAACAAAATTCTTTTTGTTGTTTTACTCCTTTTTGCAGAAAGGCACTACAGGAATGCAAGACTCTTGGTCATTACACCAAAATAGTATTAACATGGCTTCTTCATGAACTTGTCATATATGTCATTAATATAAGTGAAGATTTGCCAAGAGAGTTTTAGCACTTTGGAATTGAGGTTTGTTTTTTTTTTTTTTTTCCCATATATTTTAGAACATATAATTTGAAAAGATTTTACTGTGCAAGTATTTTCATGCCAAAAATAAATGCAATTTATTTGCTTGTTTCTTATACAGTAGGTGAGGATGATTCTGGAACCAATGAGATGGTTCTGGAATGGTGATACTCCTGTGTTTGCAGTAAAAGTGACAACCTATTCCATTTGCTGGATATATGGAATAGAGTGTAACTTCACACAGTATAACTGAGAAAAATCTCTCTTTTCCAAATCACTTTATGACCAAAGTCGGCAATATTTTCCCACTCTGTGCCACTCTGTCACTTGCTATTGTTTCATAAGAGAGTAACTGTGGCTGAAGGCCTAAACATCAGTTGGGTGCATGTGAGACTGATTATCATAGCTAACTTAAGGCACGTGTAGTAGCACAGGGAATGACTTCACACCTTCCAATCTTATAATAAATATAGCTTAATTACTGGATATTGCATGACAGCTTGTGCCCTGCGGTGAGCAGGCACAGAATGTGGTAAGGACCAGCTCTGACTTCTAAGCAAAGGTTTGTATTTCCTTTTAAGATACATTATGCACTGAAATAATAATCTCTGTTTAAGAGAATGAAGTATTTGTTATATAATGATTTCCACCTGAGGACCTTGGAGCTCCTTATGTGCACTAATGATTGAAGTGCTCTGTTCTAGTTTGCAGCTTACCATGAACCATTCAAAGCAGCATATGAACACTTTCCCATTAACCTCAAAAGTGACTAACACACAAATGTGTGGTTTGTTCCCCTCTCCTCTCCCTGGTGGATTTTGTGTTGTGGTGTGTTTGTGCTACAGGTGTAAGCAGCATAGCTGGCAGTCTGAATGGGCAAGTACCAAAGGGTCCTTAGCCCCTAGGGAACTCATTCTCTGAATTTTGGACAACTGTGTCCCTTGCAAAGGCCAATACTACATTATTGCAGAGAAGCTACAGTTTCAGGAGATCTTCATGCATGTCATTCTGTTTTATTCTTGGCTTGTACACACAGTTACTTGCCTGACCTCTCAATTAAATGGTTCAGGAAGTTACACTGGCACAATGAATGCATTTTATGTGGGAGAGTTAGGCTGCTCTGAATCCCTGACCAAAGTTACTGCAGGACCAGTCAAGTGCTGTAGCTGACTGTATAAAATGGACTGTATAAACTCCTGGGAACAGCATATCCAGGACTGAAGTCATTTGCCTAAGTTCAGTTTGGAGAGTTCAGTCTTCAAAGCATGCACTAAAATCCTTATGTTTTACCATGAAAGTGGTCAAATGCTGGAGCATGTTGCATGGAGAAGCTGTAGAATCTCCAGCCTTGGAAGCAATCAAAAGTGGACTGGCTGAGGCCCTGAGCCACCTGTTCTAGCTGGCCCTGCTTTGAGCAGGGATGGGAAAGGCAGCCTCCAGAGACCCCTTCCAGCTTCTGTTGATGCACTGAGTGTATGAATAGCTGGATCAGTTGTATCGCGGAGAGTCAAGTAATGCCCTGGTGGTGTGTGTGAAAGCAGCTGAGTGGTAACACACAGGGTTTGTGGCAAGGAACTACTCCAGATGTGTGAAATGTTTCTATGTATATGTATGAGCATCTCTAAGATCTGCGTTTCATGCTCTGACAGATTGAACTAGCAATTTAAAATACTGTCTCTGCTGTCTACATTGTGTTGCTAGCTCTCCTGGGTGACAGCCTGTGCTGTACCCTTGCCCATACCCAGAGCTATTAGCTAACCAAGTGACTGAGGAAGGAACTTGTGCAGAGCTCCCTGATGCCCAGTGACAAGGACTGATGTTCCCATTCTTCTTCTGCCTCCCCTGGAACAGGTGTGTTAGCCTAGGACAGGAGAGCCAGGTGGAGAGACTTAGATGGGAATGCCTGCAACCACACCAGTCATAGTCATTCACCCCAGAGTTAAACCAGAGGCAGCACATCTAAGCTCAGCCACCTGTAAACCCAGATTTTTGGGGTCCCAAGAAATTAGTTTGCTGGGGTTTATTTTTGTCCTGCGTCTGATTTTCCATAGGTGTAATTTGTGGGCAAAGTTCCATAGTTTAAATCAGCATGCCATAATTTATACTGGAACTGACGGCAACATGCAAATGTCGTTGTGGCCTTGGTGCTCATTTCTCATTTGCACAATGGATGTGAGCATTATCCTGACCTGTAGCAAAGCTGACCAGTAAAATGGCCAGTGTCTCCTGGGTTTTGGCAGGTCCGTTGTCAGTGGAAGAGTCTTGATGCTTCTTGGGATTTCATCATTCCAATGCTTGGAGTCATGTGGTTATGTAAGAATTTAAATTTCGGTTGTTGCTAAGCATGTGTGTTTATATCTCGAGATCAAAGAGGGCAGTTGGGCAATACGAACCTTGCAGCCCCAGACGCTCGAAGCAACAAGCAACGTCCGGCGCTGACAGCAGCGATATCGGGAACACCACCGGAGTTCTGGGGATCAGGCTGGTGGGCTGGCACCCGTGGGTGCAGCCAGCTGGGCAGCCCCCTCCGCCCGACCCCCTGGCTGTAGGAAACGCCCCCGGACCCTGCATCCCTTGGCCAGGTCCCCGAGAGAGTCGCCAGCCGCGCTGCCCGTCCTCTGCTCGGCTCCCCGGTCCCGGCCGTGCCCCGTGCCCCGTGCCCGGGGGCGCATCCCTCAATGGCCTTTCTTGGCCGGTGGCTGGCCGCGGCCCTTTCCCGCTTCCCTGGGCTGGGCACTCGGAACTTCAGCGCTGGGCGGTCCCGGCATGTATCTGCAGCCTTGCAGGAATGCTGCTGGTCGGGTGGGTAAGTCTTCATTCCTCGCCTTTCACTGCTCCCTGCTGGCCTCCGGGAAGCTGAGCACTGGGGGAGAAAAGCGGAGGCGATTAGTCGCAGTTTGAGGAGTATTGAATCAGGGTGCTCTGACCCCAGAGGTCCTAACTCCCGCCACCGGCTGAAAGCAGCTCCAACGAGAGTGTTGCTCACCGTGTTGTCCCGTTGGATTTCGGATAACCCTGGGAATGGGGTTTCTGCAACATTTCTGGGCAACTTCATCTAGTGTTTGAACAGTCTTATGGTAAACAGTCAGGATCTTGGGGACGTGTATTGAAGAGTTAGTATTTCCTCACTGCTTTCCCAAACTTTTTGCAAATGCCAAACACTTTTTCAGTGAAACAGCTCCTCAGCCAGGTGGCACCCAGTACTGTTTTAGGGATTTAATCTCTCCCAGGTGAGGGAGTTGCATTTGATTTTTTTTCATGAAATTGTTATCAGCCATTCCCCAGCCTATTTGGATTCCTCCAAGTGGTAGCACTGCTCTTGAA